CACTTGCATGATAAATTCAGATGCTTCAGCTTACGGACAACCTCAGGTGGAACGCGCATGTAGAATCTATATGCAAAAAGGCTACGAAGCGTCTGTACTTCCTAAAACAGCTAAAGCGCGCTAAAGTTCCATCCGAGGATATGCTACTTTTCTATACAACATGTATACGCCCTGTATTAGAATATGCGTGCCCAGTTTTTCATCATTCTTTGCCGCAATATCTGTCTAATGAAATGGAAAGATTGCAAAAACGCGCGTTGCGGATGATTCAACCTAACTTAACCTACGCTGAGGCTCTAGTAGCTCTTGACATTGCGTCACTGTACGAGCGGAGGGAGATCTTGTATGATACTCTATTTGATTAGATTGTAAGGGACGAAAACCACAAGCTCCATGATCTGCTGCCCCCACGCAACGAGTCCACCCATCGCACCCGCAGCCAGAGATACTTCAAGCTATCGATTTGTAAGACAAATAGGTTCAAAAACACATTCATCATGGCGAACAGTTTTAATTATTAGTAGCTATCTTAATTATTTGTATTTTGGTTTTTGATACTTCTCTTATTGTATTTTATTGTAGATTACACTTTGCGGCTTTTATTGTAGTTATCTTAGAGTAAGAGATAATTTGTTCCCATTGCAAAGTAAGTCGTATTTCAGTCGGCCCGAGGGCTGCAATGATTTTACTTTCTAAGAAAGCTATCTATCTAGCTATCCCACAGAATTCAAGTCCACCGCAATGTTGCTCTATGTAAAAGGTAATTCTGAGCAACTTCTCCGCAACAACTGAAGCAAAGCGGGTAATTTTCAGATTATATGAAACATACGGAGATATACGCTTTAGATATTTATGTCATAGACTTAACTTCCATCTTTAGAGGGTCTCAAGGGGTTTAACGTCAGCCGTCAAAACATAGTTAGTAGAGGGGATTAACTATGGTCAAAGGGCCTAAAATTGAACCGTCAAAAAGAATAAATATGCACCGTCAACCGTCAAAAAAGCAGCACAATATCAACTGTTTTTAAAGGGTCTTTCGGATCTCGCTACTTTTTCCCATTTTCGTTGCTTAATGCGCGAGACCTTTAAGTCTCAAATGTAAAGGATCTTTAAACTGGTAAACATTCTCTATGCAGGTTTTTGTATGCACTTATCTTCTTGTCATGTCCACTGATTTTCGCCTTAACAGGTAGTTTGAAATATTTTAACATCTGCTTTCAATAGTTTATCTTTAGAAATGGCTAACCTCTCAGATAACTTTTTGGTTCTGACCAAAGGCCACGCCCCGGAGCGTTCTTCCCACTTTTCCCCAAGTCATCACCGACAAGTTTACATCATGTCGAGCTTGTTAAATACGTTCGTCAGCTTCTATCATGAAATAGAAAAGAAAGCTTTCGAGCGCATTAAGAGAAGAATTTCTGTTGGGGGAAAGAATCATGGATGTCTTAGGAAACACATCATTGATTTCTCAGGGATCAACGACTCACCCACAATTTGGGGTCGGCTCATATGAGCTAAAGCTCTTCCGACTTCAAAAATGAGTCATCCTCCGTAGCGTTTCAAATGAGTTCAAGCTCTTCCGACTTCAAAAATGAGTCAGCCTCTGTAGCGTTTCAAATTTATACATGGAGACTTTAGCGTCCTGCAATATTCTTTGACTTTGTAGCATCTCGAAGTAGTCAGTCAAGCGGATCGCAGAGTGGGCGGCCAAGTGCAATACCAGTGGCGGGATCCAGACCTTGAGCTAAAGGTGAGGGGCAGTTTTGTATGTGTATGTACACCTTCCAGTTTTTCTTCCCTCTGAGTTTATTTCT